GCGAATATGCCGCGTAATTAATTTGAGTTAGTTTGGCCTGGAGAGCCAATATTAGTAGGGCTAGCGGCCTGGAGAGCCACGAGTTTGTCGCGTAATAATTTGAGTTAGATTGGCCTGGAGAGCCAATATGAGTAGAGCTAACGGCCTAGAGAGCCACGAGTTTGTCGCGTAATAATTTGAGTTAGATTGGCCTGGAGAGCCAATACGAGTAGGGCTAGTGGCCCGGAGAGCCACGAGTATGTCGTGTAATAATTTGAGTTAGATTGGCCTGGGGAGCCAATACGAGTAGGGCTAGCGGCCTGGAGAGCCACGAGTTTGCCGCGTAATAATTTGAGTTATCTAGATTGGCCTGGAGAGCCAATGTGAGTAGAGCTAACGGCCTGGAGAGCCGCGAGTATGTCGCGTAATATTTTGAGTTAGATTGGCCTGGAGAACCAATGCTGCCTGGAGAGCCGTGAGCAGGGTGTTTTGTATCAAATACTTGTGTTGTACTGTAGTACGTTAAAGGGCTCGGAGAGCCACGGGAGCGTAACCCCCTTTTCGGCACGCGTGGTTGGGAAGCCATAGTTGTACAATGCGTTTTTTAGAATTAGGCCGGAAGTTGGTCTCGTAGTTTAAGAGTACTGACTTAATCCCTCTCTGCGTATTCTTACAGCCTGCAGATCGCTTAGAGCTGTTAGAACAGAAGGTTAAGGCTCTGGAAAGAGAAAAAGTCGTTGAGTCCTGCGAGAACGACGCGGTCGCACTAAGGAGACACCTTAATAGGCCGGCGTCGCTGTTTGACCGTTACGAAGTTGTTGAGCTGTTGGAAACCCTGGTTTCCTGGTTCCCTGAAACCCTGAAATTTATTTCTCCCCTTTCTCGCTGTTCATCCTCTGGGATTATCTTGTCGCGTCCTCCGTTGGCCCTGGGGGGGCCTTCTCAGTGCTCTAATTCCGGACCTAGTTCAGAGCCTGGGGCCAACAGAGGGTCGGGTTTCCGGGGTTACCTAGTCGCGCCCACCCTTGTTTGGTTTTGGTTGCGTCCTAGGTAAATGGTTCCCCATTTGCTTCGAGACTTCACGTTGATCAAAGACTAATCCCCGAAGGGGCGATCCCCTTGAGGTGCATTACCGAGGAAACCCCACACTTTGTTGGTCCAGGGCGGAGGCATTGGCAGACGTCCCGGTCTCTCACCCTGATTATTTACTGAGTGCTGTATAAACTTGTTTCTTGGTATTTTGTTTTGTTTCGGTCCTGCTTTTTACTGCTTTGGACTTCGTTGGGCTTTGTTCCTTTGGTCACACGTACCAGCGCCTATTTCACACCGATTATACAGGATATTTGAGTAGCGGATAGTGGAATTATTAGCCGGCTTTATGCTTTAAGTTTTGAGTATCGGATGTGGGTTTTTGGGTTTGGATGTGGTTTTTGAGTATTGGATGTGGGTTTTGAGTATTGGATGTGGGTTTTTGAGCATTGGGTATATGGGGTTGAGCATAGTAAGATTAAAGGTTGGCATATTACTACTGGATTAGTTATTATGCACTACTACGACTGGAGTTTGGCTATATACTATCTCGTTGTATTGTAGGGGACAAGGAGCGGATCTCGCCCCATAACTTAATCATACTGCGACGTGATAATGGCTTCAGTG